CATTGGCGATGCGGCGCGGTCCTCCGACCCCGTCGACGCGGACCCTGTCTGCGGCCCCCAAGCTCCAAGAGGGAAACTGGCTCAGGGGGGAAGCAGCCGCCCGACACTGTCGCGACCTGCGAGGGAGCCTCGGGTTTCCCCATCGGGGGCCTATTCGACGATCTATCGGCGATGTTTCGTCGATCCCAGGTCGCTGTTTCCTCGAATGGGCACGAATGCTCGGAGATCCGCGCGTATTTGTCGGGCCAGCGTTGGACTCCATGGCGGCGTCTCCATCGCTGCCACCCAGCGCGCTTCCAGCGAAGTCCGCGCTGGTTTCCGAAAGGCCATGTTGACGTCGATTGTTCCACAGGCAGGCTTCCATTTCGCGGCTCTTACTTGCGTCTCCTGAGGAATTTGATGTGTGCGTGTGTGTGTGTGTGTGTGTCATGATTTCGCTTGGTTTTTGGTCGGTGGACGCCCGTGTGCGCTCCGTGTGTTGGGTGGGTGTGCCAGGAGTTTGCCTCTTTGGACGGGGCTGGGACGAGGATAGATCCGTTCCAGTCAGAGTGTTCCGGAACGCTGCCAGGGCGTTCAGGAACGCTCTGAGAAGGCCGCGGCGCCCGAGATGTCTTCCAGATCCGCCGGATCTCAGAGAGTCTCGATTGATCAACGCCCGATGTTACCCTCGTCCTGGCTTCGTCTTATTTACCAGCCTGGAACCTATCCCTATCCCTACGTTGGGCATCGCCTCTTCACGATGGCCATCTTAGGGATTCCCTCGGTTTCTGAGGGTGCATCCCTAAGATTGTCATCGCCTTTGGGCGTGTCAATCTTAGGGATTAGGAACAGTTCGAGGCTGGTTACCTTATGCCAGGAGCATGCCTCTTGCGAGCCTCTGGGCGCCCTGTGTGCGCCTGGTGGGCTCATGTACATAGCTGGGCGCGTACGTCCTTTGTGGTCTCCCTACTATGGGGCCACGACGCGCGCGTGAGGGGCGTGCCGACATAGCTGGCGGGGACGCACATGGGCACCGCTTCTGGGGCCTTCGGTGAAGGTCCCTATAGGGCCGCGACACGCGCGTGAGGGGTGTGCATGAGCGGCGGGGACGCCTGCGGGCACCGCCTCTGGGGCCTTCGGTGGAGGTCCCTATACTATGGGGCCACGACACGCGTGCGAGGGGCGTGCCGACATGGGCGGCGGGGCCGCGTTGCGGGCACCGCCTCTGGGGCCTTCGGTGGAGGTCCGTAGGAGCGACAGAAGGACGTACACGTATATGAATCCACGCTGGTTTCGAGAGTGCGCATTGCGCAAATGTTCGTACAACGCGGCCGGTCTTGCGGACCGAGGGGCCGTGTTCATGTACATAGCTGGGCGCGTACGTCCTTTGTGGTCTCCCTACTATGGGGCCACGACGCGCGCGTGAGGGGCGTGCCGACATAGCTGGCGGGGACGCACATGGGCACCGCTTCTGGGGCCTTCGGTGAAGGTCCCTATAGGGCCGCGACACGCGCGTGAGGGGTGTGCATGAGCGGCGGGGACGCCTGCGGGCACCGCCTCTGGGGCCTTCGGTGGAGGTCCCTATACTATGGGGCCACGACACGCGTGCGAGGGGCGTGCCGACATGGGCGGCGGGGCCGCGTTGCGGGCACCGCCTCTGGGGCCTTCGGTGGAGGTCCGTAGGAGCGACAGAAGGACGTACACGTATATGAATCCACGCTGGTTTCGAGAGTGCGCATTGCGCAAATGTTCGTACAACGCGGCCGGTCTTGCGGACCGAGGGGCCGCGTTCATGTACATAGCTGGGCGCGTACGTCCTTTGTGGTCTCCCTACTATGGGGCCACGACGCGCGCGTGAGGGGCGTGCCGACATAGCTGGCGGGGACGCACATGGGCACCGCTTCTGGGGCCTTCGGTGAAGGTCCCTATAGGGCCGCGACACGCGCGTGAGGGGTGTGCATGAGCGGCGGGGACGCCTGCGGGCACCGCCTCTGGGGCCTTCGGTGGAGGTCCCTATACTATGGGGCCACGACACGCGTGCGAGGGGCGTGCCGACATGGGCGGCGGGGCCGCGTTGCGGGCACCGCCTCTGGGGCCTTCGGTGGAGGTCCGTAGGAGCGACAGAAGGACGTACACGTATATGAATCCACGCTGGTTTCGAGAGTGCGCATTGCGCAAATGTTCGTACAACGCGGCTTGTCTCGCGGACCGAGGGGCCGTGTTCATGTACATAGCTGGGCGCGTACGTCTTTTGTGGTTTCCCTACTATGGGGCCACGACGCGCGCGTGAGGGGCGTGCCGACATAGCTGGCGGGGACGCACGTGGGCACAGCCTCTGGGGCCTTCGGTGAAGGTCCCCATAGGGCCGCGACACGCGCGTGAGGGGTGTGCCGACATGGGCGGCGGGACGCCTGCGGGCATCGCCTCTGGGGCCTTCGGTGGAGGTCCCTATACTATGGGGCCACGACACGCGTGCGAGGGGCGTGCCGACATGGGCGGCGGGGCCGCGTTGCGGGCACCGCCTCTGGGGCTTTCGGTGGAGGTCCGTAGGAGCGACAGAAGGACGTACACGTATATGAATCCACGCTGGTTTCGAGAGTGCGCATTGCGCAAATGTTCGTACAACGCGG